TTGCACCGCCAAGAATCCTGCAGATAAGTCCTCCCATCAGGTCCGCCTACAGATAAGTCCGGACTTGCATTTTCATCGATTTTCCTTGTCAAAAAAGCGGTCGGATATTGACTGTTTACTGTTAGTATCCCTTCCACAATTTCGAAACTCTGTGGAAAGTGCAAAGTATTTACTTAAAGTGCATTGCTGAAGACCAAGGCAAAGCCAAGGATCGGTTCACTGAAGAGATTTTGGGACATCCCCCATGATAGATCCTAGATAATTTAGAAAAGCGTAATTTTTATTAGCAAATACCGGCCTTTTTCTGATATCGAACTACTCTTTGATGTAAGCAGTGCCCGAATGAACCAACAATTTGTTCTTGTTTTTAAAAGCTAAGCTCTCCCCTGAGGTCACAAATCTTTACAGATTTCTTAGAACACAAATTCCCAATGTCAGCAACTACACTCCACAACTTTTTAACAATTCTTTCATAAACCGTGTTTCCTTCCACACCCGTAGTCATAAATTCTTTCCGGAATTCACAGAGAACAAAACCACTAATCGTCCCGTTCTAATTCTATTGGGTAACACAGTACCGAATAGAACGATGAACACTCCTGACGACAATCTCTCCCTGCGTACTTGCGACAAAAAGTTACCGTCTCCATAACCGTATAACCTGATCGCGTCGCTGTTCTTTATGTTAACTGATCCTGCTCTTGTTATTTTCATTACCCATATATATGGTAAAATGAAGCAAAATACGACTTATTGATGAATTCGATCTTGAAAAAATGAGTGCCTCACTGGATTCGTGTAGCAAAACCACATGCATAAAAACCTATCTACTCTATGGCCACTCCATTCAGCAAATTGTGAAGTAATCCAATATTTGGTAGGTTCAGCAAGCCCGATTGCGTAATGATATGAATCAGACATATTCTATGATATCCATTTATCGTATGTGCGCAAAACATATGAGAGCTCAACATCAATATTAAGTAAACACGACCTGACTATCTATAAA